GATTATAAAGAATACAGAGTAATATGCAACTGGATCTTCATCGGCACTGATTTTTGTGGAGGAACATTGTGCTCAGCGGACTGTTGCATAAATTCATCATTTCTGCTTGAAATCCTATCTAAAAAGCAGTAGGTGATTCAGAGTTCGATCTTGAAATGCGCTGCCCTTAGTGTGCAGTTCATTCTCAACAAAAATCAAAGCTCATAATTATAGTAAAGTAGCGCAGCAGTGAAATTAGCACCCAGAATCTCAAGTACTTCATTTTGGATTGCACAGTTCCACAATAACAATGCAACAGTTGCAGGTGAAGAAAAAACTGTAGCTTACATTAAACATTGTGTAAAAGAGAATGAACGATATCAAGAACAGAACATTTGGAACTTGAAATCGGATTCGTAACAGTGAAGTACCATCGAGATCAAACAACTACAATACCTGAAGTGTGTAACTCTAAGACGCTTTTAAGTTGAATTCACTCTTCAATTCGTTCACCGTTCAAAGAAATAATTCACGTCTCGATGCGATTTTACTCTCTTTCCATTGAATTCATAGCATCTCAGCTCGTCTTATATGATTGTCTTGGTGATTCAGCATGCCCTATTGTCACTTGAGTTGGGATTTCATTTACAATCGATCAGCAAAGAAATTATTCAAACGATATTCATTCATATTTAAATGATACATCCAATACAGTTAATGTATGCATGGTAATTCTTGTCATATTCGAGTCCTCATTAGAAAGAAATGCGGTCTTATAAGAACGCATTCCATTCCAATTGCTACTATCAATGATACACTCATCCTCTTGCTTGAATTCAATTCAAATTCGCAAGACCGATTTTGGAGGCTGAAATTTCTCCACCAAGCCATCAATAACCTCATATAATGGTTCAATAATTGGCAGGCAAATTTACTTATCTTAAGTATAAACAAAATCGAATCGAGAATTTTGTTTATAAGCTTCTTATTGTGCATAATTTCCTTATAGCACAATTTGTTTTTAACAAACTCATTTTGTAAATATTCGACTGCTGTGTTCGGTGGGTGGACTTCAGCTGAACACTGCTTCTCTTACTTGACTGACTGACCAGTCATGTTCGAAACGATCATTAANTTTCTACTTTTCAGGTTGATAGAAAGAGAATGCTTACGCATGGGGATCGGGTATGTTGAATGGTGTTAAAAGGCAGTGGCTAAGCAAGCTACTGATTTCTTATTCATCAGTTTCATTCGCACATTTCCTTAAGATTCACGCATTCAGCAAATATCACTCACTACGAACAAATACAAGTGTATGCCTCCCTATGATCACCCCATAGATCATATTCATTATCATTCATCGTTTTCTGCATACCCAACGATAGCACACAGCTTTGATAAGGATAGTCTTTTTGCGTCTTGAATCCAAGAACACACGATTTCTTCAATGAGCTGAAAAGAAATCGCCGGTTATCCACTGACATGATATCGTGTTATAAAATGACTCACAACAGATCAACGTGAGCACTTTTTTCCTTCATAAGGAAGCACATAGAGAAACGTATGGCATGCGTGTTCTCTGCTGCAGAGCACTCGCATCGATTCTAACGACTGGTCCACTGACGATGAATGAATATACTGAAATGTTGGCGAGATCCGAAGATGGGGCCAAATCAAGGCAACAGCATCGAATCGCCACCAAAATCGACTCGACACCTGAGTGCATCGAAATTGGAATCGATCAACCGAATGAACTATCAAAACGCGCCTTGTATATGCTGAATGTTGAAGATGTTATGGGTGTTTACAACAAAGAGATGAGTGAGGATCCGTACGATGCNTTAGAATAGACAAAATATTCGTCTACTAGCTCACCGATGAAGTGAGTCATATTGTTGGTGATTGCAGTGAAAGAAAGAAATCCCCAGCTGGATAAGGGAGAGAATTGCTCTTTTTTAAATTTGTTGGCAGCAAAACTTGATTGTAAGAAAGAATTGGTGTTGGTTGCCCTCTGTGGTTACAATAATTTTGTATGAATGGAAGCGATATTACTCTGAAACATCTATTGTATCATTTCAGACCAGAAATAAATTATCGGTTTTTAGGGAAAAATCAATCTGGCAACTGCTGAAAATACCGTTTGCGAGGATTTGTTAACTGAAAAAGTGTTTGCTGCGATTTTCTTTCATCTTTAACATGTTCTCGAAGTTTTAATCAATTAGATGAGAGCCATATTTTTGTAGTTTTGATGACTAATTTTTGATCTTTCATTGAAGCAAATCTCGTTTCATTCGATCCAACGCTTGTCCAATGTTTTGTTCACATATGCCATTAGAAAACAACGGTTGTTTTGATANGTTTAGAAAAGTTTTCTTGCAGTTGGAGTCTGCCGAGATATGGAAGCCAGATCTACAGCACCTCTTTCATTATCCAAAGCATGGCGGCTACGACAGGTTCTTCGGTTTTCTAAGCAACAGTTGTGTGATCAACTAAAGACAGTGCTTCATTGATCCACTTGAAAACATTTTTGAATTGCTTTCTAGACTGCAATCGCCTGTTCATGAAGATGTCCATTCCATTTTGCATCATTTCGACAAGATCGGACCGTCACCCACTTTATCAATTGCACTTTGCGATTCTAAACTTTACATTGCAAATATTGCAGAACAAAAGAAGCTCTTATTCCGTATATTGAAACATTTTTTGGTGCGAAAGTGGCTAAGGAAAATCTGATATTTTCGGCTAGTTGCACAGCTCTATACGATATGTTGGCCTTCTGCATATGTGATCCTGGAGGTATTATACTGTTCGTTCAGTTCTCGGACCAGATAAGCACTTGCACAATATCAGTGAGGTGTACTTCAATTTTTACTTAAATAGCACTTGGTCAAATCATGCACGTAACTCGAGTATCATTAAGTAATCCCATGAGAAGCTNCTATCGAGCGCTTCTTGAAGCTTTCGATTTGCATTAGCTCCAGTTTTTTGAATGGATGAAGTCTCTCTGATAGGGTTTTATTGTTGCTCTGTGGAAGATCAATCATTGGATGTTCAATGGAGTGAAATTTTCAGCGTGATCCTTACAATCCAAAAATGGAAATCGAAGAACTGCAAAGAACATTCAATGAAAATGTGTCTAAGGTGATTCTTTTTCGGTGAAATTAGCCTTAGTTAGCCTGAATTAAAATCGAGAATAGGGGAGCACTATAGAAATTAGAGGACTGTTTCACAGTTTCACGACTGATATTCACCATGCTCTTAAGCAGAGCGCTGAATTCTTACCAAACAAGTTAGCAAAGAAGGTCGCATTGAAGTTCGATGGTTTCAATTCATTCCTGAATTCGTAAAATCACTCATTCCACTACAAAATCTTTTCAATCCAATGATAGCTGAATTTTAGCTGAATATTATATTTTGAACACCTGGAAATTGTTTTAGGGAAACAAGATGAAAGCTTTCATCATAATCAATCCACAGAATCCACACGGGAGAGTTTTTACGAAAGAAGAAATTATTGCTGCATGCAACTGGGCTTCAGAGTAATCGTTATTGTTTAGAATTTTTCGTGAAAATTTTCCGAATACAATTCATAACAGTGGCTCCCGAAGCCATATGATATTTCAAAAACTGATAGTTATGCTAGGAGTAAGTTTCATATTCCCGACTGAAAGTGACAAAGGATGATTTTCCACTCAGCAATATGTGATGACAGAAAATTTCACAATATTTCCGTAAAATCCAGTGCTTGGTGATGCATTCGTAGGATTTTTAGAACGTTGACTGTAATCTCATCGAAGTGGGCTCGTTTCATTGAGTTATTAGCGTGCATAGCCTCAGAATTTCAATCGCTGCTTGTCAAGAGTTTTCCAAAATGCCGCGCCAAGAAATTAAACGATTGGAATCATTTGCCCTAGGAATTTAATCTTTGTGATTTTCTCCTATGATGATCAGGCAGACAATGCTATTAGGAATATGAAATTGGATTTTCAGGCACAATTTATACGTGATAATTGATGAGATTTTTGCTTCATCAATTCATTGTAATGAAGAGAAATTTGACAGTGTTTTAAAATTCCGAAAATCACTGAACAAATTCGAAAATATCATTTGGATATGGGGACTCAGTAAGGTAATAACTGTCCCCTACAATGCTCGGAACAACTGTTTCATATACATTTTCGTTTCAAATATGCCGTCTGCTTGTTGTCCATGTCTGGAAAATTATCCGTCTTTCGAATGTGATCAGTTAAAGTGCCACCCGGCATTAGGAGTTTTGCCCAACTTTGAAACTTATCACTCGTAGAGAGAAATTCAACAGCATTCAGGCAAAGGAACGTTTTATTTCTTAGACGCCTGACTCACCTGTTTCGAAGCTCCACTCCATCGTGATAANAAACCGTATTCGAGTGATTTTCTAGGATTTATGCATGCCAGGAGCAAAGTTGGCAGTAACACATTGTGAAAACAAGAAAATATTGGAGTGTTTAGAGCGCTTAGAAATATTTCAACCTTCCGCTCCAGTAGTGCAAGATTTTTTCGTCAACTTATTCAGCGACTTAGGCAAGTTCTTTGTTCAGTTGATCAGTTCGATCAGACAAATGTAACTGATCTACCGTTTGCTCAAATTCGTGAGCATATTAATATGGTCCATAACAGCTCCAAAGCCACGTATTTCCAATCACGAATTGTCTCTGTTCCGGAATTGAATTGGTGATGTGCGCGGATCGCAACTGCCACAAAAATTCAGCTCCAACCAACAGAGCGGAATCAGAGGGTTCATGAATGATCCGTAAGCTGAGCTTCTTGAAGAACTCGCAGATTCATGACATTTGCTTTTGCAGATTGGCTGAAATCGTTTCAAAAGAGAAATGTCGAAAGGCTGCGCGAGCATTACGAACTCACCAAAATGGCTCTCGATAAAATGGGCATCCCACTGGTGCCCGCAACTGCAGGCTTTTTTGTCTATTGCAACTTCTCGGAAGTTAGTTGTGAAAACGTATTCAAAACGTCACTCTATAAATNACTTGCGCAAATACACGACATTCATGAGTTGGAACAATTTTGACGAACTCTCAGGATTGGACGTCACTTATATGATGTTCAAGATGATAGTCATCATCAGATGATGCTGCTTAAATATCAAATAAGCAATAAGCCGTATTTCAGTATCTTAGCGAAGATACGTTCACGGCAGAAGTGGATTTCTATCGAAAACTCTGCGATGAAGGAGTATATCTTAGTTTGGGCAGATATTTCGCTGACCCGAAACCAGGCTGGATGAGACTTGTATTCTCCGTTGACAAACCACAACTTCTTGAAGGTCCGTTACCACTACTGTTGATGATTTTACACATTTGAAGTTTAGTTTTACCGTTACTAATCGGGAAGTTTATCTGCGATGACAAATTCTAATAGTATTGTGAACAGTTTCACTAATGATACGTGAGTAATATCTGCAAAATGTAATACTTACATAATGCACACCTTATAGCGAGATTCAACCCCCTAGCACACAGTCGAACCAACCTGAAAAGTACTCATCACTAATGCTGTGCTCACAAATAAACAAATTTGTTTCCAAATATTAGTGATTGATTCGTAATTTCAAAACTAAAATCACTGTATTACTCCAAGTGTATTTGGTTTCACCGAATTGATTAAAATAAGCAGAAATTTGTTCGAAAGTAAGTAGAAATTAGAAATAAGGGCATATTTGATTCAATTGTTTATGTTTCATAGAAATTCACTGAAACAATTCCATCAGACACATCTTCACCATTGGTTATAAACTCTATCGAAATTGCAGCACTTCAACGAATCGAACGAGCTCTGAACAAAATTGATAGAAAGCCGAAGCAATGAAATGTGCACTGGAAGCGTACTGAACATTATTGCATGCAATCAGATTTACGTCTCAATGAACACTGTGAAATCCTCACTTGTGATCTTTCAAACACCACATGTATCCATCCCTTCATAAAAACTAATCATTTTCTTTTGCATACGATCACACATTTGTGGTCATATGAACTGTTTTATTGTTCTGAATATCCACCTCGAAAACGTTGATGCATACTGAAACAGCAGTAATCAACGATGCTTCCTTTAATTATTAATGATTCAGCTATATGTGGATCANTTTTTTTTTCCAAAATAAAATACTGAAAATCATACAAAGGCACATAAATAAATCACAATAGAGCAGCAGTATAACGAATAGAAACAAAAACCAGCGAACAAGTTGACATAGAGATGAGTTTCGATGAGGCGATATGCCGGCCGACGTTCTCCGATGTGATTCAGTCGTTTCACATGAACTGTTGCTCAACGTCAGAGTTGCAACGGCTATTTGAGATTCGTCGGCAGATACTGTCTCAAGAAGAGTACCACTGAGAATGTGCTCTCATCGAGAATCTCATTCTCTATCTCCGTTTAACATTCAACATATCGAACACGTTTACGAGTTTTGATATGTACACAATTCATGTTTCAAACAAAAACAGAACAAACAAAACATACACAACAATAATATCGTTCGTTAAACCAACAATGATAATAACGATGATATAAGTTGACAACGTAAATAATATCAACAATGGATATAAATTAAATGAAGACGATAACTTCGAATTCAACGTATCAAATAATCACATACAATAATAAGCATACATACAATACGCAACAAAATATTGAACGAAAAATTTTTTCGAATAAAAAATTTTTTATCAATTTCGCTTTTGCGAAATCGTTTTGCATGTTATCGATGACAGATTTTGTATATTTCCAAAAGACAAAACACGACCAAAAGAGCAATGGAAAATGAGATAGACAGCTATTAGTTAGCAATTTCAATCAATACAATCAATAGACAACATAACTTACAAAAAAAAAGATTGAGGATAATGACTAGCGCTCACTCGATATTCAGATCAATCAGGGTTGATCCGCAGATCATTTCAAACCAAAATCAATCAATCGATCATAACCAGATATTGATTGAATTTGGAAGGATCCGACTGAATCGACCAGGCAGAGAATATCACTGAATTATCGAGTGAATTCAACAGATTGATAAAATCCGAAGAGATTTTTTTTTTCACAAGACCGTGGTGTAGATATGATACTGGANGAGTGGAATTTGCATTTTCGACATTTCAGAAAAAATTTTCAAAACAAATTTTAGACAAGACTGATGGCATTGAATATGATTGCACAATGCCATACGTGATGACATCGATTGTATTCGCTTGAAAGTATGCCTTAGAAAGAGTTCTTGAACAAATAAACTTGATTATTTCTAGCATATTTGAGACTGACAATGAATACGGAGTTTCTTTCAACAGCGACGATAAATATCTATCTATCATTTCGACGATAAACAGCAAATTCGATGATGAAACCACACTGCTTAAAAGACTGAACCAATGACTGAACGTTCATTGGTATCATATAGGTCATTTGAAATTCAGGCATCAGTTATTAATGCAGCAAAAACATTATGCTTGTTTTACAGATTGCATAATAAAGCATTATGCAGTGCGCTAGAGCCGGATGATTGCCCTGGAAGGCGAACGGGAACGAGCGAGACATTTTAAGATTAGACTCAGCAAAATTACGACAGCTGTTGATTGGTTAAGGAGATAAAAACTAAATATACACAACACCAATATAGTATCACCGGTATAAACCACTTTCTTAATACTACCATTACAATAACACCAACATAACTCCGTAATGTTCATAATGTTCTCCATCGAAAACGGTTCAATGATTCTTATTGCTCCTTCATTTCAATAGGACGGCCATGATTATAATAATCTGAGATATCTCTGGTTTTCATTAAACTTCAGCTTTTAGCTATTCATTTTGTTTCATTAGGATCTGCCAATGAAATGTCAGCATTTGATCCCGAAATAAACTAAACAACCGGAAACGTGATATTGAAACGGAAGACGTAGTTTTTGATATAAGGAAACTAAAAGATTCATCGCAATTAGAACTAAGGGAGGGTGACCGCACGAAACAACTCCATATAGAATCATTATGTATCATCTACTTCATTTGATATTAATCCAACCGAATTTTCGNTTTTTTTTGTTTAATTTCTTTCTTAGGAGCTCGTTTGCTGAAAATAATACTCATTCGCTTCAGCTGGAAGTTTCCAGCCACTTGCACCGAGTTCCATCAGCAAGAGAATCATTTTTCGTGCCCATGGTTCCTGTACCTGAAGTTTATCATGCACTGATGATTCACTCCACTATCTCATCAATTCCGTGCACCTTCGGCATCAATTAGTGGTAAATGGGTCTCATTAACTCCTCACGACTGTCTTGAATAATCATTTTTTATGGTTGCAAGTAAACTGAACTAATGAAACGCATTAAATATTTGTCTGCAATTTTTGAAATTTCATTTGTCGGTAATTATCCGCCTACTGACTATAAGCAACCGTCATAAGTATTGACGGCTCAGTCAGCAATGAATTGAAGCAATCAAAAACAACATTTGAGTACCTCAACAAATGCATCTCGAATACGATCCTTCAGAACAGCCAGCTGTTCTGGACATTGACGTTCCAAATCATATCCGCCACTCAGCAAACAACCAATCAAGCTTTCCAGCTGTAATTCAATCTCAAACTCACTTCGAAAATTGTTATTCCAATCGATGACTACACTCGATGTTTGACGGCAGTGATTCGTAATGTAAGAAAACTGTTTCAATTGGAATTGTCACCACCAATCGTTGGCAAGTTTTCATGCTGACAGGCACACTTAGGAATAAACTTTGCACAGTTGTACTGTAAAGGCATGATGGAATGATGATGAAAAATTCTTGAAAATAACTAATCGAACTTCAAACCTCTTCAATTTTGAGTGTTTCCAAAACGGGCGCTTTCAGCAGGTAGTCAAATATACGGAATACAAGATTTACAAGTTCACCTGGAATTGACGGAAAAATGTTTTTCAGTTTCACATTAAACACCTCAACATTTCCAACACACTTAAGAAATTCAAATCCGATCGCTTTTATATCGTCCAATGATTCGATCTACGGCTCTTTTGACGTTATTGCATATGGTCTAATGTTGTGATATTCACTGACCTCAGGGAACCATACTGTTGACAGTTAGTTATATCTGATCAATGAGTGAAATAGGTAATGTTCTTATGAGAGCATTCAGTCATCAGATTGGCTAATTCAAGGAAAATATTCTCATAGATTCACAATGAGAAACTTTAAAATACGAGAATCTTCTCAGAGAGCATTTCATTCAGCAGCACAAGACTGTAACAATGCAACAACCTTCGTAAATATATCCAACGTTTGAATAAAGATCCGAAACAAAATTAAGGAACGCGATCCACACCCGAAAATGATCAATACGCAAACGATCTCGACAATCAAAATAATGCACCAACGCCGTTATCGTACCCTTAAATTAGACTTTTGTAAATCACTTGATTGAACTGAGCAAATAAAACTCAGCTATCAATTGCATGATAACAAAACGAATCAGTGATCAGAGGTGTGGTACCAATCGATCAGCTGAACCACTCATAACTTAAAATTTAGCTATTCTTATCCCGAAACGATACTGACAACTCGAAGCTTTGTAATGAGATCGGTGAAACAATCTCCATACAAATACTGGCCCATGAGAGAGGTTTGTTGAACATATTATTGGACTTCGCTTTGTATTTTCAGCTTTCTAGATGACCTTATTCATAAATACTGCATTACATATGTAGTCTATAGCAGAAAACATGTGCATTGTAACTGAGTCATCTGTAGAACTATCAACAATAGATGATTAACTGTTGATTTCACCTGATGAAAACTTTGAGCAGCTCCACTATCCAAGAGTTGCGCAGCAATACGAGCTACGGCTTTTCCAGCCTGTCTGTTCTCTTCGATTGAAAACTGCACTAACATTTGACCAACTGCTGCACCACATTCCTCACCATCAAAATCATCTGAAGTTGGCTTCTAATTGTAATTCGAGTTCATTAAGCATACAGCTGAATGATATTCAAAATTCAAGCAAACTCGTTTGCGGCTGTCAAATGACCTCATCGCACTAATATCCAAAAGGTGCTCGTATTCGGCTTCAAAAGACATTTTTTTACTAGATTCCATTAACTGTATTGAAACGAAGTGCTGAATAAAGGTTTACAAAAATTTCAGCGCATTCTCAATGATAATAATACCTTGTTGAGTTTGCCGAAGTACGCAGGTTTTTCTTTCCTAAACGTACTATCGTAGTGCTTAAAATGGGTAGGCTCTCCATCTTTAGACAACCATGCTTGGTATTAGAATTAATCAGTGGGGATTCAAACATAGGAATTCAAAGAGAAGCACAACTGAAATAAAATTCATAAAGCAGAATGGAGTGAAACGAACTTGTGATAAACTGCTCGATAAGGGAATTCTCTTTGGCAAGATCCAATTTTCGTAGACCACCGGCCAATTCTTCGATTTGTTTTGGTGTTAACGCTTTACGTTTAGCATCTTTTTCTCTATTCACCGAACTGTTATTTCTGGAATATGGAGTGCCATCTTTTCGGCTGCCACGTTGTTGTTGCGGTTGATCTGAACCCGTTCTCATGTTGAATCCACCTCCTCCTCCTGCGCTGCTTCCAGCATTTTGTTGTGTTGCTTTCGGCGATACAGCTGGCGATACGCGATTTGTGGATCTCTTCAAATTCTGCTTATTTGCAGACAAGAACATGCTATTTGTGTCACCTAGTAGTGGCTGATTCTGACGACGATGAGAATTTTGTGACTTCAGCGAACCCTGATAGAACAAAAAACGATGTCAGCATACAGAATCATACGACCGATTGGATTTATACATTCGTTGACGCTAACTGCATGCTTTTGCATCTTTGGTTGCTTTTGGGGAGTTGCATTCAATCAGAACTAATTTTTGTAGTGTTAGAATGTGGACAAAGTGATCTTACTCTATCAACAGACTTAAAACTTCATTTATTTGATAGAATTTTCTGACTCTATCGAGAGTGTGAGTGGCGCCGAAAGCAACTACTGCTCGTCTCCATATGAGTTCACAAGTCGCAGACTACAGTCAGCAAGGAAAGTGCAAAATAAACGCTCAAATGAGCACTGAAATGATAGCATAACACCAATCGACTGCAAGACATTACACAATCGTGAACATCTTGCTGCACTCTCAAAATATCGAATGAAATTTTTCTGCAGTTATATGCCAAGATGTTCAATCGTGAAATGTTGATCTGTTGCAAACTCAATGTGCAAACTGATTTTAACTTATTCGAGTTACGTGCAGACAATTCATCGTTACGATACGATAGCTCCTCAACCAGGACCGACTAGTGCACAATGGTTTACTCAAAACTGAAATTTTTATGCACCAACACTCAGAAATTGTTCAAGAATACTGCCATCGGCAAGCCAGTTACGAATCTGACGAATTTCTTCAAGAGGATTCAAATGATGAATGTTCAAAAAATTCAAATGACTGCCATCAGAAAGAGCAAGACCAGTAAGAATTGTTCATGATTCGAAATCCAAAGTTTGTGTTTGATAGAACCTAATGGGAATATTTGGTTGACTTAGAAGAAATCAGTGAATTAGCAATTGTGCAGTGGAATGATGAGGATTCAGAAGGCAGGAGATCGAAAGGTAATCACTCACCTGTGATGATGTTGTCGAATCGTTACTTAACGCACTATCGGCACGCGGTAAAGATCCATCACTTTCATCTGTGCTTTTCTTACGCGTATTACACCCATTCAATGCATTTGTGAGAGCACACTTACCAGATTCATTATTATTCTCTGAAAACATCACACATTCGCATCATTTCGGACGATGACTGAAGTGATGCAGTGCAATCTGATCAATGATAGTATGCGATTATTCAATGGATTATCAACAATATCAGTTGAAAAAACCACAAAATTCAGGCGAGATTCATCAGGTCAGAAAACGCCATCAAATGGTCTCAATACTTTTCATTATCGGTGAAAACTTTTGTAGCTCATGATTGATTGAGTCAATCTTCTGAATGCCAACTAGTCATATTTTCAATCATTTTCATGTATCTATAATGTATTTTCATGTTGATGGCTATTCCTACACAAACCAAATTAAGCTGAATGACAGTGTAATTGATCGTGGGGTGAGTGATTAGCAACAGGAGTTCAATCCAGTTGAAACGTTGTTTGTTATAACTACAAAATAAACTACTGATGTCGTTGAAGAATATTGTTCACATTGAAAAGCACTGTATAGTGGACTATGCAATGAAGTACTTTTCCATTCTTCTATTCCACAATATAGTGATTCATCAGGTCAGAAATGAAACCATTGGTGAAAACTTTTTTGAGATAAATCAAACGAAGCGAACGGTACCATACAAATTTACTCCTACGAGAACGTTGATACCGAGCGCACTTGACGATCAGCTTGAGGATGTTTATCATCACTGATACAATCAACATAAAATGAGAAGTTTTTCCGTAAAGTATAATTTTTCGAGAAAATTGAATGCCAAATGTGCGAGAATAGATAGATGTGTTTGCGTGTGTGTGTGTGTGTGTGTGTGTGTGNTTGCATTTTTAATGCTTTACTTAGTGCATACAACTCTCTATGTAGTTGTATTTCAAATATTTCTGATAAGAATGAAAAAATTTATCTTCTACCATTGTTTATTTATCGTATTACTTGCATGAAGGCAAATAAATTCTTTAATTCAACTCCATAAGAGTTAATTGTGTACTGAAGTTATGAAAGGTTTAATAGTCCTTTTGAGACAGCTCTGAATGATGGTATAAAAAGTGACACTGTCTTTGAATATTACACTTTTCACGATCATTAAGTTACCGAGTTGTAAGTCATCACGATCAATCGCTCACTTATCGGATAATCAATTCAACAATTTTTAGACAGACTGAGCCAGTTGTAAGGCTTTGATGAATGCGAGAAGCATTCAAATGTTACAGCTATCGTTGATATGAAAACTTTGGCAAGAACATATATGAATACCATTCTGAGATTCATCGCTATTCCCCTCTCGGACATTACTGGTTGAATCTTCAACAGTTTCCAGCTCATTATCAGAATCAATACGGCCAGACATCAGTGAATCCGAATAGTTCGTTAGAGTGAATGTTGTACCAGTCGAGAATCCCTCTTCATTCATTTTCTTTGCTCGTTAACGCAATACTTTCAGAAAATAGTCGATGAAGCAAAAAGCTTGCGGATTCCCGGAGTATCCTTCGGACTTGCCGCCACAAGTAAATGTTACAAAATTTGTCTACAATTCTAAAAACTGAACCAAAAACACTGAAAGAAAACGCCTAATGACGATACAATGGATTCGATTACTGACGGATAAATACCGCTAGACACCAGATGATACACTTCTGTAAAAAACTGGAAAAGCCGAACGAATACGTTTGTGCCATTGACAGGCGGTGCATTCTAAATACAATGTCATTCGAAGCTACTGTATTTTGAAACAGCATGGACTATGTATACATGCATACACAGCTTCAATTGAATTCATTACGTTGTAATGAATTTTCGATAGAAATAATCAAATATAGGATAGTGCGACCGTATGTAATCCTATTTGTGCGCTGTTGTAATTCAAACAAATTAATATCAGACGAGCAGTCTTGATGTGAAATCAGCTGCAGTTTATGGCAACCTTCATGAAAATGCTTCGTGAGTACGGAAACTTGCTGTTGGAACAAGCACTTTACCGTCTAGTAACCATGAGCGGGTAATCTGAATGAATTTCTGCTTCCATGTGACCACTGACAGCGAATTCAAGGAAATCCACTAGTGGCGGATGTATTGTGTGGAATCGAGATCGCTATATTTGATAAGTTTTCGAAAACACCCTAAGACGGCACCTTCAGTGAATCACCGTCCAAAATCAACACGTTCTTCCTGTGAAATATGAATGACATATTCCTCATGCAATGACGCTATCAAACCCATATTTGTGCTATTTTCATGCATTATTTTCAAGTGCATTGAAACGATTCAAATGGCACACCAATCTTATCGCAAACACTCAATTTTTCTGGAGTGTGAACGTTTTTCTTTGGCTGCTCCAAACGAAGTGGACTCTAACAAGATGCAAGAGAACAGTAGTGATTGTGCAATTAGGACAGCAGATGAGAGATCTGGTTTCAGGATTATCGCATTCGCTCACACTCGTGTGATTCAGCAAGCCAGAAAACTAAGCCTATACGCAGTAAAATTAAGATCAATGTAAACACAGTGAATAGTTACGGTAAAGGGTGAAAGAGCTGTTTGAACTTATCCATTTAATGACGATACAACGTATTAAAGCCTAGAACGCGAAACAATAGCACGAAATCTGAATCCGAGCCGCTGAACAATGCTCATACATAAGCAGAAAGAAGCGATACGCGAAAATGAGGAATTTTTCAAATTCAATCGTGAATTGTTTGTTTGTTTCTGTATGTTCATTCGTATGAATTCATCGATTCTAACAACTTATTGGCTGCTGCCCTATTTTATTATATTTAGATCTGACTGACAGACACAACCGACGCAGATTAGTTTAATTCGGAATGCTAAATCCTCCTCGCTGATGTTAGTGTTACAGTGTATTAGTGTTCAACTGAAAGTACCATATGGTGAAGAGAGCAAATCACAAAATATGAAGTAAAATATGGAGGAGATAGATCAGCAAAATCTCTTTCTATCCTTCTCACATAATTCGTAAGCACTCTCCAAACTCTCGAATGGGTTCAGTCTTTCCAACAACCACTCTCGTCATTGCCGAAAAACGTCTGCTCTGAGCTGATCTGATCTGGCAGCAAAACCGTCTGCTATTTTCAACGAGTTCTTATCGGATTTTCCATAGCATTTCAGTTGAATACCTACAGAAATCACACATTCTCTCGGTGGATTTGATCGTTTCGGTGATTCTTTTTCATTCACCGATAATCAATTACGTATCGATTTTATATAGACCAATGAGTAGAATTTCTTTTTTTTTTCAGATCGTCGAACTATCGACAGCAAAAACCAAGTCACAATAGTCACACTCGCACAAAAACCCATTCCGAACAGATGATTAACATCCTCCTATCGCACATCAATCAACTTGATTCTGTATTCGACGATAAATGATTGATTATTGGTGGATCTTCGCTATTTTTGTTCGATAACATTTTCTGAAACAACCAGGAAGGATACCTAATTGCTTACACAACTGTATATTTTAACGACTAACGTAAGATGAGTTAAAGCGAACGAATGGAATTTTGCATAAATCAGAAATTCGTTGTTAAGTTAATCAGTTAACGTAGCGATTCAAGCATGAATGGCACACGACAGAAGAGGATTGCAAGTAGCCTAAGCAGAAGAATGAATCCGCAAGAATTTTAATGAAACGGTATCCGCCGCAACAACAGTAGACAACAATAATACGAAAGCAACAAATTCTCAGCAAGCATTCCTATTTTATACTGAGCAAATTTCTCGAAGATCCCTCAACGAATAGGAGTGTTTTCGTAGAGTTCATAAGAAAAACGAATTCGACAAAAGGTGTTTGTCTGGTTTGTTCAGTTGACTGAAGAAACTCGTGACCAACGAGAAAACAACGAACACTGACTGCGTTCATTTGGTGCTGTTGTTAGGTGCAAATTTTTTGTGTCGATTTCGAAAAAAATCCCAAATAGATCGAAATTGTTGCATCATCATCATCATCTTTCAGAACGATGTCAGATGAATGCAGAGCGAACGAGTTTCGCTGCATTTGTAGAATGCTCTCCGATAAAATCAATATTTTTTTCGATGTGTCCATAGTGAACAAACCTGGTTCGCTCGAGTTCATATTGAATAAACGTAGCTGAAGTCTGAGCACATTTCAAGACAAGATTTTCAAAGAGTGCCTCGCCGTAACGCCGCATAAAAACTGAGAGATTGACTCGTCAGACGATTTGAACTCAATTGATGACAATGAGGCGGTCAGGTTTAGAAGAGGATCCCGTGGAAGAATTTGGAAATTGCAACTGATTCTGATGTGAGAAGAAGGATATTTTCGAGAACATGAACAAGACACTTTTCATGACGGTACGATTATGCGAGTCTTGTTTCAGTCGAGAGCAGTTCATGAGGGAGTGGAACAACTTGTTCAGTGCATGAATTCATCACGATATGATGATGCACTCTCCAGATCATACTGTAGGCACTGTTCGTACAATCATGAATATCAGTATGTCTATTCAGGTATCATTCATCTTCAACTTTCCATGCTATCGTCAAACATTTACTGTATCAAAAAAAAGGACGTTATCATCATGAAATTACTTGCGGAATTTCAAACACAAATATCAAAAACTAATAGTAAATAAAATCATTTGAAATGTCGTATAACAGAGTGTGAAAACTGGATGAATGCGAAGTGCAGAAAACATAGTGAATCTCACCTGGAGGACGGTAGATTTGCATTGCGGGTCTGTTTGAGGGCCGTTTGGCTCGGCGGTCACCGTTCGTTGTCGTTGAAGCGTTGTTATTATTCATCATTTGTTCAATGGTGATTCGGATGCCGTCCTTCCACCCTCCATAAATTTATGCTAATTTTATTCATAACAACGCAACCAATACTCACATTATTATTTCATAAAACGTTGCTATCATTTAACCAATACATTCAACATCATTATCTGCTCTTCAGTAGCACTTGCCACTATCACCATCGTGTGTCAGTCAATCACTCTTATAACAACAATACTATCGAATCGTTATCAAGCCACGTCAGTTCAATGAATCAGTGCATCATCATCATCATCATCATT